AAAATGAAGTATTATTACTGATAAAAAATGTCATACTTACAGGCGGTGGCTGTCTTGGAGGCTTTCCACTGCCAACAGCTAGAGGATCTGGTACATTTGAAGTCATAACCAAAGTTGTCCCAGGTGCCTTAGCTGGTGTCACTAAGGTCAGGGGYTTGTTCCATGCATTAAATACAGGACCTTGTGGTGATAAAGGCCTGTCTACTGTAATTGGACTATTTCGCTTAGTGGAGTTGGTACTCGATGGGTTACTTCCAATACTRCCAGAGACCAATCCAGGTGCACCCTCCAAGGAAACAGGAACTGGGAGTTTACCATCAAAAGATTTTGATTGGGCATTTGAGCTTTGATGTTGCTTGCTAAACCGAGGCGGTTTGCTAGTCTGGTTTTTCTTGAATTTGGAATCTGAATTTCTCTGGTTTGCTTTCTCTTCATTTCGTTTTCTTCTTTCATCTTCTTCTCTTTGTTTTTCTTTTAGTTCCTTTTGAGTTCGCTTTGAGGTGACTTCCACAAAACCGCTTGAGGAAATATCAGAGGCATCATCTGGGATATCATCAATGCATATCACACCGGCAACATTGTGGAGATCAAATAGTTCAATGTTGGCTTTTTTAACTGTATCATTTCGTTTAGGCACCACTTTTCCGTCAATACTGTCAACAGCACCGTAGTCAGTTCTCTTGTCATCTTTAGGGGTTCCACTATTTTTCTTGCTTGATGTTAATTCTGCCATTTTTACAGCAGGTAAAGAACCCCTAGGTTCCCCGCTGGCCGACTTTGAACCTTCAACTTTTACCTGCTTTTCGGCTAAAAAAGAATCCCCTTTTCTTGACTGTGTGTTAGACTGATTTCCCTCACGTCTTGAAGAAAATTTTCCAGACTCATCTCTAGATGATCCTCGTCGGTTAGAACCTTTTTCATATGATGAGCGAGGAAAGCCACMTTTACGTGTTGATGGTTTTTCATCTCTTGATTGKTCTTTGGAACTCGAATCAACATCTTCATCCCAGTTTTYAGTAGCTTCTATGACAGTATCACCTTTCCCTTCGTCATTATCTTGTGAACTGGATRCAAYATGACCACGCCCTCTTCCCCTACCTCTTCCACGGCTTCCACGCACTGAATTACGATCCACACGCATACCTCCTCTTCCAGAATTTCGCTGCTGTGCYGCCCTTTCCTGCTGTTTCTGAAACCTTGGCGGCTTTTCWGGTTGTGGTCTGGAACGAAGGTAGTTACCTCCACGGCCTCTGTTCCCTCTTGGCGATTTAAGTCCCCGTGTTGAGCTACTTGACTGACTTGTGCTTCTTGGCTGTTCTTTTGGCTTTTCTTCCTTCTCCTCAGGTCTTTCTTCCGATGCTGAGGTGGCTGTGGTGTAGCTACTAGATTCACTACCACTGTCATCTGTATCATCATTATCAGAAAATTCCTCTTTCTTGGTTGGGCGATTATAATTACTTGCYACAATTCGACCACTCCCWACAAGCCGTCCACTTCCTCTGCTKCGTAGTCCACGCCCAAGGCTCCCTCTACCCCTTGTGGAGAAYTGGGTACGATGACCACCYCTATCACGGCGAGCAGTATAATCTCTTTTACTTCTAAAGGAATCCTTGTCTCTGTACCGATCATAATCTTTAATATTTTTATCACGTTCTTCTCGAGGTTTGTCTTTATACCTTTCAAGTTCTCTCTCTTTATTTCCCTCCTGGTTTTGCTTGTTATGATCTTGRTATCTATCACCATCACGATTGGTTCGTTGATTATTAAAGCGCTCCTCTTCTCTGATGTCCCTTGATGCAAACCTTCCTCTTCTTGCAGGTTCTCTATTGTCTCTTTCTTTCCGAGGCTCATCTCTGTTTGTTTTATAGTTTTCATGCTTGGGTTCATCTTTCTCATTCACTGAGTCTCTTTTAGTTTCATCTCTGCTCTCACGACTGTCTTTCCTTGAATCAAACTTCTTTGGTCTTTGAGGTCTATCATCATAYCTATCACTTCTCTTTTCAAATTTRTCCATCTTTCTTTCTCCTTTYTCCTTTTCTTGCATGTCTCTTTGAGCCGCCTGATCTTGGTGATATGTCTTACGGTCATGGTTTTCTCGATCTGATCTTCCCTCTTTCTTTATATCAGTTTTATCTTTAGAATCATCTGTGAAAACYTTATCTTTATTGTCTTTTTTCTGATCTTCCGTTCCTTTTGGTTCTTTCTGTCTTTCATTTTTATCTGACATCTCTTTTTTCTGTTCTCTGATATCTCTAGAATCCCTTGACCTTGAATCTCGTACATGTCTTTGTCGATTATCACCACCATCACTTCTGTAATCTTGTCTACCACGTCCAATTCCACGTCCTCTACCACGTCCAGTTGTTGCTTGCCTTAACCTTCCACGGCTATCAGTTTGCCTTTCACGACCCAACTTGCCTCTCCTATCATCCCAATCAAGATCCTCATGTTCGTCTCTCTTTCGCTTGTGTKGTTCTTCTACTTTCTTGTCATTTGGTTTGTATTCACGTTTTCTAGCACTACCAGAAGATACACTAACATCCTCTTTGTTGTCGCCACTTTTGTCAAACTGCTTTTGATCTGATGGTCTYTCATAATCATTTGGCTTTCTTTGATTGTCCTGTTTTCTGGTTTCATTACCGTCTTTCCTTGCTGTTTCTGAATCTTTGTGCTTTGAAACCGAATCTGKTTTGGYTCCCTCTGTTTCTTTAAAGACAGAAGTTCCYGACCCCCTTTCTTTGTCACCAACRCTCTCTAAAGACTTGACACTTGCTACATCATCACCAGCAGTGCTGCTGCTGTCAGATCGTTTCATAATCCTCTTGACTGGGACAGCATCTCCAGGTCTACTTGTTTTGCCTGAAGGGGAAACTGGRCCTGGAAACAAAGAAAATCACACTGTTAAAGGATGTGATAACAGTAGATGATATAATCCAAGCTAAAAAATTCATGCATCTAAACCCCTAGTTCACAAAAAAGCAGAAATAAAAATGAACTTGGAAGCTTAACATTTGATGTAACAACTTGTTCTGTAAAAAGTGGATATTACTGTATGCATTATTTAATTGCATCAAAACAATAGTAGGACTTAAATCTATCATTGTCAATCACATACCAGAATCAACAGTCTGTGGAGGCCTAGGAACTGCTGCATCATAGAAATCCCTGTGTGGATAGGCAGATGTTTGATGACTAGCCTGATAAAGTTGCTGTTGTTGATAYTGTTGCTGTTGTTGTTGTCTTTGTTGCTGGAAACGAGGTGGGATATTTCTTTGTTGATGGTAAAACTGTCGTGATCCACTAGATCTTGAAGTGTCGCTGGAATCACTGTCCGCCCGTCGTCGGGGATGATCTTCAGGCCTGAGATTAACCACAGGTTTTTGTTCGGTAGAAGCCGCAACATGGTCAACATCTTTCACCTTTCTTTCTTTTTGTTCTTTTTCGTTTTCAAAGTCAGCTTTTGTTTCCTTATTATCAGATGGCTCTGCAGACTCAGATTTGACATCACTCTGTTTAGCCTTTTCCTCGATTGCCTTTAATCTCATCATTGCAGCTGCCTTTGTTTTAGCTTGCAACTCTAACTCCTCTTGCTCCCTTCTCTTCCTTGCTCTCTCCACAGCCGCATGCATTTCCTCTTGCTGCTTTTGCCGTTTTAGTGTCCATTCATCAGGTGGATCACTGTCCCTTCTTGTAACTGGTCCTTCTTGATTAGGTGGTCTATTACCAGGAGAAACATCTTGCCCAGCATGTGGAGACCCAGAGAGGGGAGGGTACTGGCCAGGAGGAACTCTCGACTGGGTTTGGTTAGGAGGAGGGTACTGCATATTCCAGGCTGCTCTCTGTTCTGAGCCTGGTCTTTGACTGTCGAAGGGACGTGGCGGTCTGTTACCATCTGTGAGTTCTTGAGGCCTTTGAGGTAGTTCACCCCATGCAGACTTAGGTTGCTTTGGCCTGTCATTGACCTTCAGAAGAGAAACATTGGCATAAATCAAGAGCTGCTTCCCTGACAAAGTTTTGCAAAATGAATTGTATAAACCCATGTAAAAGAATGCCCTGCAGGTACAGTAGCATCCTTCTAAGAAATTTGTCAAAAAGAATCAGCACTTCAGCACATTCTGGAATCTAAAACGTTACTACATGGATATGTATCTAAAACCCCACATCACAACATCTGCTCCATTGTATACCAAATTAGATTTACTACATGCATATCAGGCTAGTTAATTTAAAATGTTGTCATTCTTTCTCAGTTCAAGTGATGGTTGAAATGCAGCGACAAGTAAAACATATCTTGAAAAGTAGCAAGACCAAGAGATGACTTATTTTGAATTTCCTTTACAAATTTATAAAAAAACATGCACTTCATGCTGGTTAGCAATACTTACTTGTGGAGGTCTTCTTAAAATAACAGGTTCTCTTGGTTCTACTGGTTCTCTTTCCGAGTCTTGTGATTGCTGTTCCTCGTCCTTGTTTTGTTCCTTGCTTGGTCTTTCAATATTTTCCTTCGCCCAATCCTTATCTTCCTCTTCAAAATCTTCAAAGTTCAATTTTGCTGTGTAATCTACTTCTCCATGAGCACCAGCCCAACCGCCATCATCATCTTCATCGTCCATGGCTTGAATGTCTTCTGGTCGAAGAACAGATGGTCTAACAACAGGTTTTTTATTGTCTCTATCTTGATCTTGCCTTCTGTCTTGTCTTGCTCCTTGTTTAGAGTTTTGGCCTGATCTTTGATAAGTAGGTCTATTGCAAAAGACAAGTGTTGATGTAAGAATGAATGGGTTGAACCAGGATGTTAGTAATAGAGGTATCATGGTACAATGTATGATCAATGTGATGTAAGATGTCTTGAGAAAGACTGAAGAAATCAATTGTCTGCCATTTTGATGTCCTGCATGGAAGTTACAAAATTTTGACACAATTACAGAAAAAAAACCCATCAAGTTCATTTAGGATTCAACCTTTTTAGATATGGTTTTGAGAAAGTTTAGGCAAAGTTTCAATCAATCAATCCATTTAATCTGCATTTGTAAATATGGCTGAAATAGAGTGCACAAGCTTTTTTAAGACTAATTTGCAGAAACATCTAGAATCCAGCAAAAGAACTTCCTATGTCCTGATACAATAATTTTTGCTGTAATAAAAATTACAACTGGTTCTCTTTGTTGATGGAGTCAGAGAATAACTACCTGTCATGCTGATCCTGTCCAGTATAGCCATGTTGTGGTGGTGGTCGGCCTGCTTGTCCTGGATAATAATTATTACCATATTGTTGAGGAGGATATTGCTGCATATTGGCTCTGTTATTCTGATTGAAAAGGATGCAAACAATAAATAATAATTACTTTATAATAATAATTAATAATAATAATTTTATAATAATAATAATTTTAATAAATTTTAATTAATAATTTTTTTAATAAATAGATTTAATAAATTTATCAAATTTATTAATTTAATAGTTTTTTAATAAATAATTTTTTTAATAAATTTTAATTTTAATAATAATAATAATAATAATAATAATAATAATTTTAGAATAATAATTATTTTATATACTGCTTTCATTAACAAGAAACACATTGAGTACACTTTCTTGGTACTCTTTATCTATTTATTTCTTTGTCAATCTCTACTTTAACTTTTTATTTTAATTTTTCCCTTKTATTTAAAGTGCTTAGAGAAAGCTATAGAAGCGCTATAGAAGCTTATATATATACATTATTATTTATTTTGTGTGATTTTCTTCATCTTTTTGATGTATCACACATTATTTCCAGTTGAATATTACACTATATTGCATGGTTTAATGAAAACTACTCTATTGGAGTAAATATATTTCATTTCCATATTTTCTTCTATATTATATTTTTTTCTACAATATTTGTATAATTTGTAATTTCTTTGCCTTTTATTATATTATAAAATTTATAATCTATTGCCTTGTCTCAATTACATGTAGGTCTCATTTCTATTTACAGGYCAATAGAATAAAGCATTGTATGTAAACAAATACAAATTGATTAATTTAATTGTCTGTAGCCTTCACACTCACAGTTTACGTAGTCAACGYTACCTGAAAATCTGCTGGTCTTCGATGATAAAATGCCTGTCCTCCATTGTAAGTGTCATTATTTCTAGTATATCCATGTGGAGGAGGCCCTAAGGAGATAAATATATGCATTTATAGCTATTATTGTTCATTACTATTTGGTTTATTATGTGGTCTTGGTTTGGCTGAGACATGTGTGATATTTAAGTACACACGCATGGATAACGCCATTCAATCAATCACCTTTATAACAACAAATGTTTTGGCAATATTATTCTGTCTTCAGATTTTCATTCAAAAACTGAAGATGGCATAAAATTGCAAGAAAAACCTTTGTTTTCTAAAATTWTATTGTTTTTGAAACATCATTTTTGAATCCATACAAACTTTTTGTATCTTACCTGGACCACTGCGCTCCATCCAAGGAGGTTCGTCTGTAAAAAAATAATGAACAAAGCTTTAAAAATTCAGTTCTCATGTCATCAATTGTTTCTAATTCGAAAAATCAACCTTTCTGAAAAAAGGCAACTGCTAATTAATGCACAAMAATTAGTCACAGTACCCCAGCAACCGTGTTATATTACCTAGATTCCTTTGCAACCCAAAAACAAGATGGCTACTGCATKTTTTGAAACAGATGCATATGTGTTGAATTTTTTTTCCCATCAAAACAAAGAAAAATAACCAYATTTTTGAAGAATGCTGAATCYGCTGATTTTAGTATTGTCTATATTTTGTAATWAGAATTTGATTTTATCATATACACTTTTTGAGTCTAAAACAGCTGCCAATTTAGGCAGAAGTATCTYGTGATAAAACACTGGTTGAAGGCCCTGTTAATTAGCATATTATTTCAAAACTGAAACAAAATGACTCCTTGACAACTGAAATATCATAGCATATCAGAGCTACATGAATATACATGTAATAAACCTATTAAAGTCATATGAAAATTCATGGAGCTTATTATATGCATATTTTACAGAGAAATGTATGGCCAAGAGTATGGTATATATACATGTAGTATATTCCCAGACATTTATTTCTCTGTTAAGTACATGTAAGTAGTTAAAAAAAATATTTTAGGCTATGAATTTTAATTGGAGGTCTTTGGTATCTTAAGGGCAAAAAAATSGYGTCCAATTTAGATAAAGATCAATTGACGGTGACAATATTATTGGCAGTTTGATTGACATTWAAGTACAGTAATGATTGTGGCGTAAACAAACAGGTTTCCTTACGAGTATTGCGAATAACTGGTGCTGGTCCATAGTTTTCTTTTCCATCTGGCTTTGCCTCTCCATTGTCTTGACCACCAAGGGTTGGAAATTCTCGATTGAAATATGGTGTCGGCTGGTGAGAGTAGGTTTTCCCTGAAAATTGAGATCAAAAATAACTTATTAAATAATATCATGATGTTAATATTATAATGATAAGGTAATGTATGACTAATAAATAAAATGCCAGTCAAAACATTGATTTCTCTATAATAATATTATTTTGCCAACTGATATAAAATCTACAKCCAGTCATGACTGTTGTTGATRCATTTGTAAATGGCTTAAAATKTAGTGGTCAATCGCCACARACTTTTATCAACAATCATGTAGAATTTGAAAATGTTTATACTCAATACATTCCTTGCCCATAGTTCAAATAAACTTGGTATAATTTCACCCTACGAAAACTCCATAGGAATTGTCAATTATTGAATTGATTCCAAAGAAATTTTTTGGGGGATGGAAGAAAATCAAATGTGATTATAGATATCAAAGATTCTCACATTTGTAATAAACCAAGCTTTCAGTCTAGTTGGCCATTTAAAAAGATGAATATATAAATAATATACAAGTGCTCACAATCCTTAAATAGCTCACGGAAAGTATAATTAAAGGAAACAGCAAACTCATGAGATCCTGTATGCACTAATTAGCTAATTATTAACTATTTCAAATCACATGCTCCTGAAACCAGTTACAATGTTATAGGCCAAAAGTTGGGTTCAATATCCTTGAATAAATATATGAAGACAAGGCTTTGTTATGTGCTTCTTGTAAAAAAAAAAAAATTCAACTTTACTTCCTGCATTTATATMACAGAAAATTAAATCAACAGTAATCCTCTAAAAGGTTTGTTAGTAGCAACTTTCAAGAGATCTTTAGCATAACAATAAACACAAGTGTAGACTGCCCTTTGGAACAGGTGAATGTTTGAAAGAAAAACGTAAGCACAAGAAAGCGTTATAATAAATTCAACAGTTTGCCGGGGGAAAAATATATGAAAATTTGCTTTATTTTACAAAAGGGAAGCTTATGAATGGCTTTAACATAGTAAAATCAGTACTTCTGTTTTATAGTGAAAAGCAAAGATTTTGCTTCGCTTGGCAACATTCTGTTGTGTCAAATAAAGTAATTTTGTTTAACATTTTCTTGCATATATTAAATTGTGAGTCACGCTTGCAGGCTCAGACTGTCAAAGATTTTTTGATGTTCTAAGAAATGTAAACAGGACAAGAAACTGCACAAGTGAGAGTAAAACACAATAAAATAATGAATATCCTATGCTTATTCTTTCAAAACCATCTTTAAARTGATTTATGTCCAACATACATAGCAACATTACATTTGAATGACTTAACAAAGCACCTTTCGATCGAAAAATTGTGATTCAAAGCTATCAACTTCCTGAGTCAAGCGCTTGGACATCGATAAAATYATCATTATAAAATCTACCTTGACCACCAGCCTCGCTTTGTGAAACACTTCCCCATGTTTTTGCCTGTACTTCGCTTTTTTCTTGCTTTGCACTCGTCGTAGTTTCTTGTCGCGTTGGCCCCAAGTTTTGCGACTGTTGTTGTGTTGCTACTTGCGTTGGGTACGATGACGGCGGCGTAGGCCGCTGAGGTTGCAACGATGGCTGCTGTGTGACTACTACATTTGATTGTGAAGGCTGGATGTTCGAAGGTGGAGGTGTTGATATGGTCGTCGGGCTTGCACTGTCCGYTTTTTCCTTCGCACTTCCCCATCCTCCACCACCACTTGGTACTAAACTTACAGTTGGGTCGTTTCCAGAATTCTCGCTTTTTAGTGAAGGTAAATTGGCCGGAGGAGGGATTCTGCGACTGGATCCAATCTTTCCCAAACTTTGTAATCCATGGCGAGTCGCTCCTGCATTCAAATCAATAAAATAATATTTTAGTTAAGTCTTCAATTGGCCCACACGTGAATGCCTCTAAGCGTTACAACAAGACAGTTTGGATGGTAGTTGCAAAAATGGTGATTAATATACATGATCTACAACAACGCTAGAGGGACAAATATAAGATAAATAAACATGAAATAAGCTTTTCTCGGTACATCAAATGATTCTCTCGAAATCAGATCATAAAGACTTGAAATAGACCACAAACCTGTGGAGGTTTTGATTTCAACTTTGTTTCCTTTGTACGTCTGGTTTAGGTTAAGTGAAGAATACTTCGGCTTCCCTGCATTGTCCTTTATTTTAGCAGCCAAGCGGTCGGACATTCTGGATAGGCAGTCATGAAGGAATCAGTGTGTAAAGCCTAAATCACAATCTCCCTGCAAACTTAATAATTTTTTCGTGCAACTTGCCAATCCAGATATGGCGGTAGTGAAGGCGAGATAGTGACGTTTTACGAATACACGATGTCGTATTTTGGATTGTCCGCTTAAAAATACAATCACCAATAGTTCGTTCAGGTCCCAAGAAACTCTTCTTTTCCTTAAAATGAACTGTTTGTCCAAGGATTGCTTTAGATGGTAAAGATTGTTATACAAAGACCAAGATGGTGGTAACGTCAAGCCATCGGTAGGATTAAAATTTCATTAGACGTACGTTTCACGAACACATGACGTAACGACTAGCGAAAGATTCCGAGTACGTACCGGAACCTTCCGACTGTTTCCGAATCATGTACGTAAACATTTCCAGCCTTTTGAGTCACGGAAACAAAACAAAATTCAAATAAAAAAGGGGAATCTGTTAAAGATCAGAAATAGATTAAGAATTTTTCTTTTTTGTGTTTATTCTGTTTTTTTTTCCTTTTTTTCGCTTATACGGAACTGTTTTTGTTTTATTTAAATGATGKTTTACATCTCTTGTACGTTATCAGGATACCAGCTTTTACATAAGATGACTTATTTTCTTATTTTTAATTATTTTGAAATTGGAAATAAAAAACAATAAAAGAAAAAAATWAAATAAAATGTCGGACTCGGCTCCGGGACTCCCTCGACCATCCAAGATGGCGGCCCTTTCGACGGACTGTTCTATCTGTAAGTACATTTAATAAGTTAATTACATGGMCGGCGGATCGGAAACTTTTTAAAATCACTTCTCCTCTTCATGTAATGCATCAGTGCTATGTTTGTATGAATTCTAGCTTTGAACAGCCGGATTACCGAAGAAAAAAAACTTTTAGACGTCAAACCGTGTTTACCGTCCCCCGGGTACCATCCCCAGCTCGTTCTGGGTGCAGCGCGCATACCGAGGTAAACGCAAGCGGGGGCAAGCGAGGACAATGACCATTTTACATTGTTCATAAAGAAAAAATAGCCTCTTGAGGAGAAATTTTTGCTGACAATTTTTTGCCTTTGGACCGTTGGAATGT